ATCACAATTCTCTAGAATTATTAAAAAATGTGATTACATGAATTCCTTTACATACAGTGGATTCTTATTATTCCTTGGATACCAAATTTTTTCGTGGATTTAGTGGCTGCAGGTGAACAACGAATTTAAATATCCAACGAATGACACATTTTCTATAAGGTTATATGCACACTTTGACAAAACCACGAAGTCAAATATCCACGAAAATGCAAGTTTTCCTCAATCAACCAAAATTGGCACAAATTAAAATGAATGAATATACAGTATACTGTGTATCAGTAGTAAATACAATTGAATTTCATAGAATATAAGCATCTATGCTTTGCACTAAGATTTGCAATTAAATTTCTAAATGTACAAACAAACAAAAATCAGTCTCTTTATGTTATACATGTACATAGAAATCATTTTGACTTCCATCAACCATAAAGATAAGGAATTCCTCATTTCATAAACAAGTCTGTATTCTTTGTCTGCTAACCTGTCCTTCTATTTGCCAATGCTTGTTACTTGTTAATTAACACTAAGTTCTCATTTCTTACTAATGGAAATTTTGAATCAAATTAGTAGGATGATTTAGAAAAAGATTACAATAAACTGTTATCACAGAGATATGTCTCGTCTTTTTTGCAATTTTGATAACGCAAATGTTGAAATTAAAATAGCAATACTTTAACATGTAAGTTATGCAAATATTCAAAGTCGATGAACCATGACTGAAGGTACATGGGTAAACAATCTCCATGGAATGAGATGTGCCAATGCTAATACAACTGCATACCAAATACCATTGACTTATTATAAGTCATTCCCTTTAAACAAACCTAAACACAAACATTAACTTGTAAACTATGTAAAAGTTTCAAAGTCAATGAACCATGATCAGGGGTGGGGCTATATAATCTCCATGGAAACTATACTTGTAAATGCCAATAAATTTGCATACCAAATATCATTGACTTAACATTAGCAGTTCATCTTAAACTGATCTAATCACAAACTAATACATGTAAACTAAGCAAAAGTTTCAAAGTATATAGACCATGACTGAGGGGGCGGGGCCAAATATTCTCCATGGAAATGAGATGTGCTAATGCTTATACAGCTGAGCACCAATTAACATTGCCCTACCACTGATGGTTCCCCTTGAACTGACCTAATCACAAACTAATACATGTTAACTTAGCAAAATTTTCAAAGTCTATAGACCATGACTAAGGGGGCGGAGCCAAATAATCTCCATGGAAATGAGATATGCCAATGCTTATACAATTGCATACCAAATATCATTGACCTACCACTAGTGGTTCCCCATAAATTGACCTAATCACAAACTAATACATGTAAACTATGAAAAGTTTCAAAGTCAATAGACCTTGACTAAGGGGGCGGGGCCAAATAATCTCCATGGTAATGAGATGTGCCAATGCTAATACAACTGTATACCAAATATCATTGACCTACCACTAGTGGTTCACCATGAACTAGACCTAATCACAAACTAATACATTGTTGACGCCTTCACCGCCGCCGAAACAGCATACCTATGTCTTGCTTTTTGACTCAGTCAAGGCGAGACAAAAATGTGGAAAGTTAATTGACTGCTAAATACACAACTTACACATCCAAATTATAAGACCTCTAAACCAGGTGAGCTAACCAAAACCTTACTTAAATGTCTACCAATCTACCTACAATAACTTTCTTTAATGTATTGAAGTTTACATGTATCAGGCAGTATAATCATTGTTGGATTTACTACCGGTACTTAAAACTGGAGAAAATAACCGTTATAAAATGTCTACCCATCTACGTATAATTACCTTCGTCAATGTATTGAAGTATACATGTATAATCATTGTTTGATTTGCTATAATATGAAACTGAAGAAAATAAGACAATTATAAACCATACTTAAATCTATGAGAATGGAAAAAATATATGTATAGATTTTATTACAATATCCTGATACTTATCTATTGTAGATAGCTAAGCAATGCCTTTCTAAAATTAAAATGTGAATACCAATATTACAAATAATGGTTTAAAGCAATAGAATCTGCTTCTCTAATCACTTAATGAATATAGTTTAACTTTAATATTGTGAAAACTGAATGGATCAGGCATAAAAAAAAGAGTCAGAAGACACCAAGGTGACATTCAAAACTCATATATATTTTAAAAGTATAAGTTTAAGAAAAACTGACAATGCTATGGCAAAAAAGGCAAAGATGAAAAGACAAACAAGTCCCCCTAACATTACAAAGAAAACAAAAGATGAGCAACACAAAAACCCACCGAAAACCAGGTGATCTCAGGTGCCCCAAAAGGGTAAGCAGTTTCTGCTCCACAGCTGGCACCTGTTATGTTGCTCATGTAAGTACAAACTGGCGATGAAGTCTAATTCTCTGATGTCACTTAAAGACACTTTCGAGGAAGAAAAACAAGCAAACAATGGAAATGGTCAGAACTCGCCTCATAAAACATGAAAAAGACGTAGGAACAATTTTTTTCACAAGATATTATTGACATCAAATTAGCGCCTTGTTTTCTGTTGTAATACATGTATCATACTATCACATCATATCAGGTTACAGAATCAATCTAATAAAAAAAATATACTGGAGCAGGTGTTTATGTGCTAATTCTAAAGGCCAATCGACATGTATTACACAATACTGAATTATTAGCTAAGTTTTTTGTTCTGGCTGAAAAGTAAATGAGGACTTAGTACTGCCTTTCTCCATTCCTTTTACATCTTCCATTCCCAGATTATTTAGCGATTAGGATTCTGAGAAGATATTTTTTTCTCAGTCATACCCCTGAACTTGTTTGTCAAGTCTTTATTAAACAGTCTTTAGAACTGAGGGCGACAGACCTGGCCGGCCCATGTCAGACAAAGTTCATGATAACTATTGTCAGTTTAATCTTAAATCTGTGTATCATGTGAATTGTTTATTTGTGTATTCTTTTATGTAAGTATGTATTTTGTTTGTTATTGCTTGACCCTTATGGATGTAATATTGCAATAAAGATTACTGAAAAAGACATATAAAACTAAGATGATGTGGTATGATTACCAATGAGACAAATATCAACCAGAGACTAAAGGACACTAACATTAGCAACTATAGGTCATTGTTCTGCCTTCAACAATGAGCATTATCACAATTTCAGTTTAAAGAAAATTCTGTTTTATGTTTGGTGCAGATAAGTCAAATTTCACAGCAGGTTATAAAAGATCTAACTAGAAGTTTGAGAAAAAAAATGTGGAAACAAAATTAACCCTGTTGTATAAAACTTCAAACTATCTTAGCATTAATCCTATTTTGATATACCAGTATCTAACATGAGTCAGATTTTTTATAACATTGACAAAAACGTGATTCTTAAAGGTTACAGATAGTGCTTAATTATACTCCAATCAAAGTTCTTTTCTGGATTAAACTTCATGTTTCACTCAAAGAAAAACTGAAGAATTACAAAAACATTACGCTGCTGTCTCATTGATGTTTATCCCACATCTCCTTTTACTATATGACTAATTATAATGAAATAAAAACAAGCCTTAAACAACAACTAGAATCATGACTGACAACTATTCAAAATCTCCATGGGGGAAGCACAAGAGGACCTAATACATCACTTATATATGTCAAAATTTCTTTAATCTAATATACTTAGGTTTTTATGTGCTTAAACACTATTTTAATTAACTCCTTTGAAAGAATGTTTATGAGGTTTTTAGATCTTATAAAAAAAGATTTTAAAAGTAAGACAAAAACCTCTCATTGGAGGAAACCTCCCATAAATAGTAAAAATTGGAAGTATTCTAAGAATCTTATCATAGCATACACCTTACATAGGTCAACCAATTTTCTAGCAAGTTATTCATCAAAGCATGTTTAAAAAATATCAGGTGTTGCAAACAAAATGTTCAAGTGGAATACAGGTAAATCTAAAATACTGGCAAATCTAAAGTTATGTCACCTGAACCAAGTTGAACATTATTGATTTAAATACAGTAGAATTATTCAAATAGCTCAACATAGAATTCAAGTTGAACTAACATGAATTGCAAGAAAAAACTGGTTGATACGTGTACAGTTTTGGTTGTAAAAGTGAAAATTTAGAAGAAAAAAATACTGCGCAATGAACACTTTTTGAATACAACTCTCAACCAAAACTTTTCCCCATCTTTTAACCAATTCAAATGTACTGTGATGCAAATTTAATTAATACATTTTATCATATATTCTGCAATAAAATGTGAAAGCAAGTATATGTGTTTGGTAACGTTTTTTCTAAGGTGTTTATACAGTGCCTCTTTTCCATAAAAAAAAAGGTAAAAAATGTAAAAACTACATAAAAAAAAACAACAACAAAATGACAGCAAAGAATTCACAGATTTTTCAACCACTTCTGATAAATATCAAAATACAAAAAATTCAATATTTTTTTTATTTCTAAGGGAGTTAATAACTAAATAATAAAAAAAATTGTATAAATTATTTCATATGCCCTTAACTTCAAACCTAAATTCAAAAAGGTTAATTCATAAAATTTAACAACAAGTGTTCATAATGACCTCAACTTCAACGAGCATTTTTTACGTCTTTATCTAAATTTCATTAAGTGTGGCATTCCTATTGATATGCCATATAAAAAAACACCCAAGTAATTAAATCTGGTCACGTATGGTAATACAAGAGTGGAGTATTCAGAGAAAAAAAATCCATACCTTTTTGTTGTTTTCATCTTATAGTTATGGCTTAATTAAAACTGAGGTAAAACCTGTTTCTACTGAAGCGACCATAAATGGAACCATTGACGTTTTTTCAAATTATTTAATGATCTACATGACATACTCATTTGTTTTTATGTTTAAAAAGACAGCCATTCAACTTTTATGATTCTTATACAATTTTCAAAATTTTTTTTTTACAAATTCTATTTTAATAAGTGAAATATTGTGTGTTTAAAAGAAAATAAAGACCTACCTTGTATCGAATCTTCATCTTTATTATCTCTAGGAGTACCCTGTAAATACAGAGAAATTATCTTGTCAATAAATCAAGGAGAAAAAATCCTAAATCAATAGTATAAAACAACAAAGCATAAACCTACCATTAAATGGCAGCAGAATTTTTTCATCAACCATGAATTAAATCTTTGCATTTAAATTTTCATTGACACAAATTCTCCCGTAAAATCGTAACGATATATTCCCAGTCGGTGACGATAAGGACGGTCTTCAAACAAGTGATCGTTAATTGCAATTTCCTCTATCGTATTCCTTACATCTCAATTCTGTTGACCGAGCAGTTCATTAACTGGTTAATGTCACAGATCCATTACAATCGTAACCAAATGAGCGACAATACTATAACAAGAAGATTATAACGCCTTTCTCTCAACGTCCACTAGGTTTCACATTTGTATCCAAATCGGACAAAACACAATTATCTTGTAAATGGTAGTCAGAATTTTCTTTGTACTGTGCATCTTAATTTAGGAACCGATAGGAAACAATAGAGAAGATTCCAATATGATGGAATTTTTATGAATCAGCTTTTTTGTTAGAACGCGGAAGAATAATATAAAAAGATTATCAATATTTCTCAATCACAGTTCTTATTCTGCTTTATAATCTGTACTCTATATTTAGATAGTTATAAACACCCCCATTTCTCATGAACATCAGATGAGTTATTTTTGTCTTTTAGAATTAATTAAATATTTCTATAAACTGAAACAAATAAAATTTATAGAATCAAGATTGCTGGGGCCCATACATTTACCTTAAATATTTCTATAAACTGAAACAAATGAAATTTATAGAATCAAGATTGCTGAGGCCCATGCATTTGACTCTTATTTTAGAGTCAAGTGTCATGTGTAGGCAGATAGAAAAACACCTACTTACTTTTTGTTAAGTTAAAAATATACAGCTGTACGTAAATACAATTTCCTTATTTGAAATTAGAAAAGAGAAACTGTATAGAATGCGCTGTGAACTTTTCAAAATATGGTGAAAATTCATCAAAGATACTAGGATTATTTCTTATATGCCGAACTCATCAGTGTCGCTGGAAAGCCAAATCAATTATCTATCTTAAGGACATCTATGCCTGGGGGTAGAAAACCCAAATGTTTTGTCTTATTGAAACGTTTTATTAATAGTATATTGACAGACAATTAGAGTATCAACGATATCGCATGACAGCACAGAATCCCTGAATACTGAGCTGGTGATAATGTACCCTCCAAGATGAAAGTCAGTTTCAACTCAATGCAGTTGTTTAAAACCTCATCAACGATAACCAATTTATGATTTTATACTGTAAATTCAGAATTATTGTGTGCATTTATTATTGCAATTTTTGAAGAATGGACAAAAATGTGAGATTAATTATTGCGAGTTCAGGAATCTGCATACAGATTTATGTATCAGATATCAGAATGCGTGTTCTTTAAATATTATTGCGTTCATCATACAATTGCATTATTCGTGTTAATAAAAACCTTGCAATAATTTCTGAATTTACAGTATGCTAGATACATGTATGTCTACATAAACACTCTTCAGGCACCTGAATAAAAAAAAGTTAAAAGGCCAAATCAATTATACAATGTAAGTATAAAGAGCATTAAAAACCAAAACTTCCAAAAATATTTTATTGACAGTAAATGACCACAACATTGATGAGGGAGGTAAAAAGGGGGGGGGGGGTATCTGCACGGAAGAACGTGAAATAAAATTGCCATTTCACGATGAACAAACAATTAAAAATTTCTTGCACGTTGATCTTTTTACTGATTTCACGAAACACGGTGAAAAATAAACCTTTTTCACGGTTGCACGTGAAATAAAAATGGCAAAACACGTTGCACGAAAATAACCCTTTACCACCCTCATTGATATTTCATGACAGCATAGGACCACTGAATACTGGGCTGGTGATACCCTCGTGACCAAATATTCACCAGTTGGCATCAACCCAGTTGTTTTAAATTTATCACAAATACCAGCCCATATAGAGACAACTAATGATATACAAAATATTATTTATCTACTATTCCTTCATTCTAGAAAAAAAAATAGCTTCCCATGTTATTTGCTTACCATACATATAACTTATCTTTTGTGAAATTCATTGTACACAAGACAATTGGCATTAAATGTGAACTCAAAACATGATAGAAGACAAAATAAAAAAATTCTGGCATATTTTCTTATTCAAATTGAGAAATTGGATTACCAAAAGTCTAGTTTTTATATATAATAGGTGATTGAGTGAAATCATTAAGTTGTTTATCATATGACCAGCCTAAAAACTAAAAACCATCCAATCATTTATAGATTCAAATGGTCCCTCAGAGCTTCTAAAAAATTTTGATGTCATGAGAAATTTTAATTCCTTTGTAATAACATTTTCCAAGATCAATATAACTTATGTTATACATATATCTATATGTATTGCTCTTTGCTCCTGTGTATAACACCAAAAACTGCTCTTTACTATTTTGTTGCATAACACCATAAAACCTGCCTTTGTATTGTAATCATTTATGCAGGTAATGGCTTCCATAGTTCATTCATTACTGTCATTATTAGTTATTGAACTTTACGGATACAGTAAACGAAATGAGATTTTCAAATGCAATCAAAATTCAACATGGAGAAACTAGAGTGGAAGGGGTAGTCTTTTAACTTTTTGTAAAGAATTACAAGATTTGTAAGATGTTTAACCTAATTCTATACTATTATTCCATTGCATAACTTTACAGCAGAAACAATTTTTAAAATATCTTAACTGATTTTCTCACAAATTGTTATTCAGAATAAATTCTAGTAAGTTATATAAAAATAAAATCCTACTAATCATTCAAAACTCAGCTTTGAAATGGTTTGATTTATACTTGTACATTTGTAACAGAAACTAAAAGATTTTTCTCTAATTCACCCTTGACTATATTAGTCTCAACACCTGATTTTCTTTTTTTAGTATATCTATAGATAAAATAAAAATAAAATTGACAATCTATAAATCTACAGTCAACTGTAATGTTACTAAATGAAGAAATGAATTGTTTCTGGTGTCATCAGTTAGGTTATATTTGGTTCAGTAAAAATGAACTAATAAAAAAGTCTTTTCTGAGTTCACAGTAAGGTCAACTAAAGAAAAAAAACCATCACAAATAGCTAATATTAATAGATTTCTTAGCAATCAATGCCGTCTGCCGTACAGTGATACACTACAGATTTAATTAATTACAGGTTTATGAATTTAGTTCAACTAGTAAGGGGAAAACTCTCAAAAATAATCAATGGAGGGAAAGAGATAGTTTACACATTTTCACAATTTATAATTTACTCTTATTTACAAAATGGCATGTTGTTTTAACGTTGAATTTCACTCTGAAGTTATGTTTTCACACAAATTAATTTCATTAAAAGAGATGTCATGCTAACAATCAATCATTCATTCGACACACAGTAATAGAAAAGATAGAATATATGGAATATTAATTTAAAAATCTCTTTAACACACTCGACAAAATCCAAAGAAACCAGCAAAGTGTGCTTTTATGTTAACATTATTTACTTACATTAAATCTGGACAACAGGATTAAAAATATGTAAAATAAAAACAAAACAAACAAACCCACTTCAGAATATAGAATGGCCATCTCAATAATACAGACAAATACGGTGACCTATATTTGTAAACTTCTAGGTCATTTGGTCTCTGGTTGCGAGTTGTCTCATTGGCAAACATACCACATCTTATTTTTATAAATAAAATGGTTTGCAGATTTCAATTTTCTTGTTTGATATTTTGTCTGTTTATGGTTTCGAAAGGGAAATAACTCTATTAAATAGATAATTTTTTGTTTTGGTCGTCTCATTTATTTGTATGGTATTTCTTGCCTGAGTGTTAATTTTTTGTTTTGTACAATTTTTTGCTCTCGTTCATAAAAATATCAAGATCATAGGCAAAAACATAAACTCAGCCAAAAACATCATTAAATAACAATTAGTCCTATAAAAGTTGATTGATGGTTTCACTCATAGTGGCTTTTTTGAATATCATTATATTGCTGATCAATTTTGATATTTTATAAAAGTTTCCAAAATAATAGCAAAACACTAAAATTGGTAAACAAAATTGCATCCAGGGGCAATAACTGCTACAAGGAAATAATTGATGGTTTGTCATATTGGTATTTTTGTTGATCTTGTAATCCTGACCATGTTTGTTATTTACAGACTCTTCCTTTTAATCATAATATTCAAAGTTATTCATTTCTATTGATTGGGTTCCTGTTGCTGAATCTTAAGTTTTCTTTGTACTGTTTTGATTTTGCAACATTTTTTATTTTGCAATTGTATTCTCTATCTTTATTCTTAAGTGGGTACTGGTCTTCATTCATGCATCAAGTATTTTTTTTTTTGCCATTTTTACCATAATTTTATACATAAAATATTCCAGCATCATCCTGCATGGACTGTTGCACTAGATTTTCTGTATTTGGGTAAACAGGCAAATTACATAGTATCCTTGTGTTGTTAAGTTCGCAATACAAACACCAATTTTAATCTATGTGATAACGTGGTAAATTTTTCACCGATCCGTGTATTTATGCAATCTCTTCATGTGACTTCTTATCCAACATTCGCGATGAATTCTGATGCAAGTTACTATGTAAAAACCTGATCACTATTAGTGTTTTCTGGGTACCTTAGCTGATGAAGATTTCTGTTATCTGTTACTGTCATGCAAAACCGAATTCTAACTAGACTGTGAGCAGAAAAAACGTTTTCAATTTTTATGCATCACCTACATTTACAAATTTTCTAAAACATTATCTCTCTCCTAAATGACAATGTGAAATACGTGTAAAATAACTTCTTTTTTTCATCTGTTCAAACTTATATATTGTGTAATTTATTAATATTTCATTTGTATCACTATCTCTTCTAATGGAGGCTAAATAAAGATATATATCGGAAATAATATGCAAATGTGGACTCTTAAAGTCTATATATATTTGGGGATATTGCCTCTTGTTCCATCAATACTGCCTTATTCTTCATATTTTGATTTCTATTTAGAGATGAATTCAAAAATAAATTTCTGTTAATAGATCAGATGTTATTTCTTAAAGTGTCTTATAATAAACCTTTATTCTTAGATTCACAGCAGATACCGTTCGCATGCTAATTTTGGTTCTTGAAAATGATCTATTAAATCTATTTTGATTATTGCAGATGTTATTTTGAAAAATAATAATCAGGATTTAAGATTGGATCACCTGAGTAACACTTATTTAACAAATAACATTTCTTAAAAGATTCTATTTACAACCAAAATAAATGGAGAATGCATCCAATCAGATGATTAATAAAGGGGCATAACTCCAGAACAGTAAAAGTGACACCATCCAAATTCTAATTTGATTTTGTTATGTGGTAGTAAGCATTGTGTATTAGTTTCATAATATTTGGTTGAGGAAAACTAAAGTTAGAGAAAGTTTTGGTTGGGACAGACGGATGGACAAGGGTAACTGTTAGTGACTTAATGCCCACTCCCGTGACAGCGGGGCATAAAAAATCTGCTAGGATGTGTTTGAGCTTTTGATTTTGCCATTTGATAAGGGACTTCCCGTTTTGAATTTTCCTTGGAGTTAAATCTTTTTGTTATTTTACTTTTTACAAGAAAATTAGATCTTGGATCAGTTTTGTTGTTCACATGTTTTTTTATTATCTATCATACTTTTCAAGATAATCAGCAAAAATGCTAAACTTGTTAAAAACATTAAAGGAACTTAATTCAAGGGCAATAATTCTTACTAGCAGTCATCTGATAACTTTGGTGGTAATAAAGTAAGTATATCTGGACATTTTGAGTGTTTTTGTCCCATCCGATTTTCTCTAGCTATATTAAACTTATGTTCTATTTTAGCTATGGTGGCCATTGAAAATTGAAAATGATTAGCAGCAGCAATAAACACATAAATTATACTAGAAACACTTCGGATTATTAAGAAAAATTATGGTTGAAATTGGTCCAGTCATTTCAGAAGAATTTTTCTAAATTTTACGACCAATAATTGACACCAAATGATGCCTATTAGGCCAGGTGAGCTCAAACAGAAGGCCGTAATCAAGATAACAAAAAGAAGAAGAAGAAATACTCATTTAGCAATATGTTTCCCTTCTTCAAAAGGGATACAAAAAAGAATCAAAATGTCAATTACTACCACATAGCTCTAAAAAAAAAGACGACCTAAGGGCAGATAACTCTGCTTGTAGAAAATATGAAATACCATTCTGAACACAAACTGATGTACCACAAATAATTATGAAAAGTTTCCTATTCATTAACAAAAAATAACAAGGAGAAATTATATGTTATTGGGATGAACACTATACCATATCTTAATTTCCGTCAACTGGTCACATGTATCAAAATCGTTATTAGAGCCATCATAAAAATACAAGAGCAATATTGATTTTAACAGAGAATTTCCTTTCATTATAAACAATACAAGTGTAAACAAAATTCTTGCAATTGGTAAATTTAATTTGACATTTTTCAAGAGTTTTTAATGAACAATTATTGCTCAGGTAAATCAGTTTAATAATAGTGACTTTTTAGAGTTGCCTGCATTTTCATTTTCAATGCATACATATCTGAGACAACTCCCGTTATATAAAATAGAATTTAGCATTTCAAGAAAATTGGTAAACACATGCATGAGTTTATTTGTAACAATCTCAATCAGTTGCAAGAAAATATAGATATGGTATGATTGTCCCAAAAATAAAAAATAAGGTGTTATTTATAAACAATTCAGTTTTGTGCTATGGTAATGGAGGAACAAAATATAATATCTAAATAAAAAAAGTCAACATGTTATAAAAAAAAAAAGGAATATATAATGGAATGATATACAATCCTAAAATACCTGAATATCTGTTTCTGAAGGTCGATAAAAAAGTCCTTGACCCTGCAGGTGGAAACAACATCTATTTGTTTAAATTTATATATACCCATACTATATTACGATGATTGAACAAAATTGATGTTCAAAATTAAATCATGCTTTCAGACATATTCAAAATAACATATACGTAAAAGCCTGGAAAACATATGAAAGAAACAAATTGTCCTTTTTGACCATGAGTTACGAAATCTCTCTTCTCTCTGGATGGTAAATTCTAGATTTTAACATGCTTGCAAGTATACATTATTGTTTATGGGACACCTCGCTAGTATACATTATTGCTAGTATACATTATTGTTTAGAGGCCAGCTGAAGCCCGCCTCCAGTTGAGGGATTTTCTTGCTGCATTGAAGACCCATTGGTGGCCTTGGGCTGTTTTCTGCTCTTTGGTTGGGTTGTTGTCTCTTACACATTCTCTATTTCCGTTCTCAATACTACTGCTTAAGCTTGCATGCTGAAAACCTTAAATTGCTTGTGTAAACCACAGGTAATTTGTGATAATGTCACCTTAATTAAGCTGTTAAGTCACCTTAAGTAAGCTGTTAAGTCACCTTTAGTAAGCTGTCAAGTCACCTTAGTAAGCTGTCGAGTCACCTTTAGTTAGCTGTTGATTCACCTTAGCATTGTTTACTTCAATACTTGTACAGAAAAAAAATTAAGATTGAACTGACTAATTGCAAGAAAATTGGCAAACACCTTTATGGTTCCAGTTGTAAAAGTGAACACAAAAATAAGTGTTTTTATACACACCAACTTTTAACATAAAATAAATGTTATTGCAGCTGGATAAATTTCATGGTAAAGTAAAATAATTAAGAAAGACCTTTTCAAATTTACCATTAAAACACTGTTTATTTCCATTCCATAAACAATGTTCGACCTTTTGATCACACCCACAACATTAATGTCTCAAGTTTGAAATCTCAAATATCATCAAACAAAGGAACTTCCTGCCTACAATAAAGTACAATAAAACATACCGGTAATTCTAATTTCTTTTTATTGTGGGTTGACATCTTTCTATTTATGCATCTTTTAACTCCTTCGAAACAAATTTAACATATATTTTGGGTCTGGGTCATTATAATATAAAATGGAATCAAATGGTTTTTCCCAAAGTTTGACAAAAAAGACAAAATAAGTAACCATAATAGAATTAAAGAACCTTAGTGAGCGTGCTTACATACCCCACGTCCCCACATTATCATTGGAGAAATAAAATAAGTGTCAGAAAAAAAAAATTGTATAAGAAAAAATTGAATCATAATATCCTGTCAATATGCACTTCTACATAGTATGTCCTTATTATCTACAAAGTTTCATGAAATTCTGTTGTGTGGTTTCAGAGGAGTTGCGATGACAAACTGTTGCAGAAGTACATTGATGCAAATAAGTTCAAAGGGGCGTAACTCCTAGAAAAAAAATTGAATCGTAATTTCCTGTCGATATGCACATCTACATAGTATGTCCTTATTATCTAAAAAGGTTTCATGAAATTCTGTTGTGTGGTTTCAGAGGAGTTGCGATGACAAACTGTTGCAGTAGTACATTGAAGCAAATAAGTTCAAAGGGGCATAACTCCTAGAAAAAAAATTGAATCATAATTTCCTGTCGATATGCACAACTACATAGTATGTCCTTATTATCTAAAAAGGTTTCATGAAATTCTGTTGTGTGGTTTCAAAGGAGTTGCGATGACAAACTGTTGCAGTAGTACATTGAAGCAAATAAGTTCAAAGGGGCGTAACTCCTAGAAAAAAAATTGAATCGCAATTTCCTGTCGATATGCACAACTACATAGTATGTCCTTATTATCTAAAAAGGTTTCATGAAATTCTGTTGTGTGGTTTCAGAGGAGTTGCGATGACAAACTGTTGCAGTAGTACATTAAAGTAAATAAGTTCAAAGGGGCTTAACTCCTAGAAAAAAAATTGAATCGCAATTTCCTGTCGATATGCACAACTACATAGTATGTCCTTATTATCTAAAAAGGTTTCGTGAAATTCTGTTGGGTGGTTTGAGAGGAGTTGCGATGACAAGAAACAGGAATGACGGACGGACGGACTGACGGACGGACTGACGGGTCAAAAACATTATACCCTCCGCAACCCGTTGCGTGGGGTATAAAAACAAAGGACATTGGGTAACCATCCTTGACACAAAATCAGTACATGCACAGCAAAAAACACACAAAAACCAAAGGAACAGTGCTTTTATTGTTGTTCTTCATCTCAAGTGATCACTCAGGAACTCAAGCGCCTACATGTACAAATCTCATATGTATATGTTCTTTAAACACTAAGTGGAGACTTTTGACAGCTGTACATGATGTCTATGATTTTATATTTATCATTTTCTACAAAAAGGCAATGATGATAAGATGACCAAAAATTCTATACAATATTAACAATCATACAAATGTCTTTTTCATATCTATTTATAGCATATTACAGTTTTAGACAAGGCGACGTAAAGCAAACACCAATAAATCAATCAGTTTTAAACAATAACTTCAGACTTAACAATTGCAGATTCGTGGAAATTTTTTAAGCTCAACAATAAAAATTTCCAGATATTGCACATTTAGCAAATTTCCTGTATTACCAGGATAATTATCATAGGTCCTAAACTTTGGTGTTAACCATTTCTTTGCAAGTGGTTCATGATTAACAAGAGCTGTTTAAAAAAAAAATCTTGTGTTGACATCAATAAGGATCAATTGGAATGGAACTTAGAATAATGTAAGTTCAATTATTGAAACAAATGCAACCTTTTGCAAATGAACAATATTGACTTTAATAACTAAACAAGAGTGCACATGCTGAAATGTCTTGCTTGTTTTCATTCTCATGATTGAATTTCATACCATACATCAAATATAGTTAGCCTATTGCTTATAGTATCTGAGAAACAGACCTAATTATGAAAATTGAACATTGAGCAATGAACCATGAAAATGAGGTCAAGTTAAGATAGACCTTGGCAGACAAAATGAACACCATGCAATCATTCCATACACTGAATATAGTTGACCTATTGCTTAAACTAAAGTATTCGGGGAAACAGACAAAACAATGAAAACTTAACATTGACTAATGAACCATGAATATAAGGTCAAGGTCAGATGCAATCTGCTAGACAGACATGTACAAAAAGAAAGAAACAAATAATTATTTATTTTTACTGGACCTTATGCCTAAGAAATATTTTTTTGCCACTATAGACCCACACTTTAAGTAGATACACTAGTCACTTTGATACTTATTGCTTTGTTACTATTAATAAACAAAAAACAAAAAATAGATTATGATAAAGTATAAACTCCTGCTTTCTCTTGTTCAAAAATCCACAATGAAACCATTCTATTTTATGCCTAGTCAGCATTTTTTTGACATTGAATTTTTTTTTATACCTTATCTGATCATAATCATCATGTTATGAGGGAATATAAAATAATATTTCAATATATAACAATGAACAATGAGAAGACATCATTAGTTACCTTGATAGAGGGATTATAGACAAGTCATATCACATTATTGATTTTCACATAAGAAAACCTTTTTTTACATTTATTTCATGATGCTGTGCAAATTCATTAATCAGACTTCGTTGAGCTTTATTTTTTCTACAATTTAGAATTGGATGGTACTGTGAATTATGCAAATCTAAAGAATCCTTGCAAAAATTTGATGGAAAAGAAAAACAAATCTTAAGATCTACTTTGATGTTAAGCTTGTTGAACTTTCTGACAGGGAAAATGCTGAGAAAATGTTTTCATGCATGCAAATAAATTTCCCAGAAAAGAAATTCATCTAGTCTATACAAAAAAATACTACAATTAGGTACCACTGTGTTCAAGTACTGCTCATTCTTGGTGGATAAATAATTATCAATTCCTGGTAGCCAGTGCTATTGTACTGGCATGCTTTTTGTAAAATTCCAGTTCAGAAATTATTTAATTGTACTTAAACTAATGTTGCAACTCCCTAAGGCCAAGTTGACTTTAGATGGTTTATGCTGCCCTTTTCAATTTTAATTCCACATATGCTTTAGGTCTCATACTAAAAGGTTATTCCAGAATCAAATGTTATGCACACATCTAGCTTAATATGTATCTTATACTTTTTTTATCACTTATAAATTCATGTAATGGGTATATGCTCTCAATTTCTTTTGTTTGTGTATGTGAGTTTGCTTTGTATTGATTTACGCATTTTAAGGTTAACAAACATATGCGTAAGCTTATTTTTCACTGTAAAAACCTGGTAAGTAATCAGTACAATAAGTAACGATAACAGTTTAGAGCTGAGTTCAATTGCTAAAAGAAGATGCCTGGTCAATAAGACAATTAATTCCACACTTATTTATTAAAAAAATGCAACCTTACAAAGTCTATCCAAACTATTTTTGCAAAGAATTCCGCTCAAGCCGGTGCTAGGAGCCGTCTTAAACTTGCAGTGAGGTGAGAGTTTTTTTGCTCAGTGGTGAAGGTCACACAGTGACTTTGAGATGAAGAACAGCAATAAAAGCGCCGTTCCTTTGCTTTTTGTGTGTTTTTTGCTGTGCATGTATTGATTTTGTGTCATGGATAGATACCCCATACCCTTAGTTTTTCTATTGTAAATTAAGCACTGCTGTTATATTTTTTTGTATATTACTGTTTTTCCTTCTTTTTCATTTTGAAGATTAGGTGTTATTAGCAGATTTTTGATTGTTTCTTTTATATTTATTCACTAACTTTACAGATACAGAATGATTTCGAGCTTGATATATTATATAGACACGCCGATTGTAGTTCTTTCTCCCAAAATGTCTTTTGGTAAATTTTGCGTTTGGCTGCCGTTCTGATGTGTTATCTGTATAAAAAGATTTGTCTCTGTGAAGGGTAATAGATTATTTGCCATGGGATAGAATAAATTATCTCCCTCGTATTAACCAATCAAAATCTGGCATTTTGACCTAAAGTATAATAAAGATAATTGTCACCCTACAATAATTTGGTAATTTAGAAACTAAATGGAAGTAAGTGCTGCATTATCAAAGTCAGTATCTGCTTAAAATGGAATTTTTATGTTTCTGTTTGGTTCATTGTAAAACTTTAATCAAGGAAGTTCATCAAGGGAAAAAAAGGGGGATGTCAATACTTTATAAAATGGTTTTGAATAGGATTGTTTGTACATTATTTCTGTTGAAAATCAAGAACTGTAAACTTCAGACATGAAATCAATTTTAAGAATGAAATCAAACAGGATGGACTAAGTGAAATTTTATGTAATTTCAAACATTTCATAAATCAATGTCAGAGTTTTTTTTTTATTTTAATTTTATAAATAAGTTTTCATCAATACTGTCAGTGTTATTTACATGTACAAAGAAAAATGTTTCATTGATTGTCACTTTTCAACTGATAGATTGCATCAGTTCGCACAGTTTTTCAAGATTTTATTTAAAAGTGAAGATATCAAATAAAATTTGATAAAGACTAAGATTAAAATCTATTTCATTTTCATTAAATTGAATCATTTTATGATTTCACAAAAATGATTTCACACTTCAAGAACCATCTGAAAAATTCACTCTTAATTTCTCAAAAAAATTCACCAATTTTAATCTTTTTAAATCTTAAGCACAAACAGCACCCAATAAATTCATGAAAAGAGGAATCGAGCTACAATTTTATTATGAATTGAATCTTAAACTCTAGATGATTTCTTTTGACTAAATTACCAAGTTGTTCAGAAAAATCGTCAACATGAAAAAGAAAAAAATAACTGTCACAAAAATGATATTTCCTAAAGGAATAATAAAATGCATTTGTAGTATCAAAACATTTAGGATAAAACGTTTTGTCTTCTAAGAAATATATCAAAATTTTGCCACTTGGACTAATGAAGGAACAAAAAAACCTCCTTCAGAACTTAAGATATAAGGATTATGCAATGGTAAAAACAGTGAGATCTATCTAAACTGATCACCTTCAGGACCAAAGATTTTGTTCTGATTACGCTAGAGTTCAGTAAATTACAAAGGAATATCCATTAAATATTCAAATAAAATAAAGTTTACATTAAACAGGATTCCACTTTAAACTAGGTTTGTTTTAGACAAGGTATACTAGCTGTTGTTTGAGAATAATGAGATGTGGGGTAAAGTTCAATGAGACAACAACCCAACAAAAAAACAACAACAAAAAGACATCTAGAGGTCATCTTATGATTTATCAACAATAAAGTCTCTATACAATATGTGAAGCTCTAAATCATCTACAGTCTAGAAAATCTCAAGTGTATCAATTCAAAAGAGACTGAAAATCTCAAGTGTATCAATTCATAAGAGACTGAAAATATCAAGTGTATCAATTCCAAAAAGACTGAAAATATCAAGTGTATCAATTCAAAAGAGACTGAAAATCTCAAGTGTATCAATTAAAAAAAGACTGAAAATCTCAAGTGTATCAATTCAAAAAAGACTGAAAATATCAAGTGTATCAATTCAAAAAAGACTGAAAATATCAAGTGTATCAATTCAAAAGAGACTGAAAATATCAAGTATATCAATTCAAAAGAGACCATCTGTCATCAACACAAAATCAATCTAATGACGATAACCCATCAAGATATGACAAAAGACAGTTACTAGGAAAGTTCCTGATTTGGGACACTGCCACATGAACATGTGGTAAAACTAGTTTTTGACATATCAGGAATAAAAACAATAATTCATAGCCCCATTGCTTTCTATGTTAAATTTTGCAATTTCAAGCATTAATGGCTACTTTGTCTAAAGTTCAAATAAAGTGGCAGTCATTTCATGTCAAAACTATGCCTTATCCTAGCTGACTTGTGCTGAAAAATTCAACATACCTTTAATTGCATATTAGAGCCCGGAAGTTTGGTAGTACATGTACAATAACAGGTACTCTTGAACTGAACACCAGGGCAAATGTGTCCTCCTTTTATAATTTCATATATTTTTTTTTATTTTTCAAAATAAACTTTCAACAAGGGTTCTACAGTGATCATAAGTCTTTCATTTGATACCAAAATTACCCAAATGTTTTACAAATTGACAAAGTTACAGCTATGCGTAGGAACTATTTTGTTTAAAATATGTACTACTTTCTTATATGTTCTTTCTGACCAGGCCCGAATTAGTGGTTCTATATCGTCAATCCTTTCAATTTGCTATTGGTCAGTGGACTAACTAAAGTTACCTACAAGATCACATGTCTATTCCTTTTTTTTTTTTTTTTCATTTTGCCAATATGGTGTTTTCTGTCTTCCTTCAACTTATTATTTTCGATTGCTCCTCCTTTTGGTTTAGTATAGGACAAAGAACGTGCAACAGAAGCCAAATATAATTTGAAACTCAAATGTAAAACTTTAACCTTTTACATATCATTAGAGAAACATAGACATGAATAATTAACTCACCATGAAAATGACAAAAAGTCAACAGACACCCATCACATTTAAAAGCAAATTATAAGTAATCCAGGTACATAAATAGCTATTGACATATCATGTTTATCATGTTTAGTTACTGAGAATAGACCTTATAAGGAAATAAGCATGAAAATAGATCAGATTCACAACTGACAGTTTGTATAAAACCTGCTTTCATATACAATTTGATTGGTTTAGGCATTAAACAGATATTGTGTGTTATTAATGTCATCACATGGAAATTTATAATATCTATAGATTATCTTTCAGCATCATTTGTTCAGAGACATGTAAAAACCATAAATTTAATTGTCTCTGATTTGTTGTGGATGAGAAAAAAGCAAATAAACGGTTGATTTTGTTATCAATATGATTTGAGCAGTCCCAGTAGAAAACTGGAAGAGATAGCTATTTATAAAATATGACTGCTTTTTATTCAAGAAAAAAAAAACCCAAATTGTCAACTTTGTTTGAAATTTACCCACCAATAAAAGTATAAAATATATTCAATATTTCATTCCCCATCTCAATAACACTGAATAGCCAGCTGATTGGCTCTCTCATCCTAGAGAGTGCCAATCAAAACTCAGGATTTGAGTCATGTTTTAATTGTTCGCATCTAAAGAGTTTAGGCCCTCATAGGTAAGAGAGATCCATTAAATATAGGGCTTAAATTATTTGGGTTAGTGCTTTTTGGCTGAACAATACCGATGTCATTACTGGTAAAATTAAAATCTAAATGACTTCTTTGCAAATTTTAAGTTAACACCTGTATATAAAGTTTATTTCAATACATGAAGTCTAAAACAATAAGTTACCCATAAATAAAATAAATAAAACTTATTTCACATAATAAAAGTAGTTTTACATAATAAAACATTGTATTAAAGAAAAACAGCATAATTCCTGAAACTTAAAACTGAACATGTAACATCAAAATGCAATTAGAACTCAAAAGGAGCATACCATGTGCCAGACCTAAAACCATTAATGGCATGCTGTAAAAAAGGACAAACAGTGAATATTGCAACTGTGACTAAGACACAAGTCAACATTTCATGCAGATACATTTTCTGAGAGTGATCTCCCCTGTACCCTGTGTTTTTCCTTAAACCACCTGACACACATTTCATGCCACTTAACACAACTCACTTTTAAAATAGAGATGAATGTGAACGAAGCCTTTTCCTCTCCATTAACTACAAATATGTTAACAGTGGTTCAAGAAATATGTTAACAGAAATTTTATAATATAACACAGTTTAATATTGTATGATAGACAGTCTAACTATACTTTAACATGCTTTAGCACTACAAACCAGTGTTATAAAAGAGCTTTTATAAACCATGATTGTAATAAGTTTGCTGCAATCAAAATTCACTCCATAATTTTGTGAAAGTGACCATATTGTTTATACTTTAGAAGTGATCAGAAACTCCTTGGCATTGTGCATTATTAATATGGATCCCTCAACTTATGGTATTCTATTATCAAATGTAAAGTAAATATTAAAAAAAAATCATAGTAATATGTATAATTGGTTTTACAAGATTAAATCCAAGGTGTATTTGCAATGCAAAACTGCATCTCACATTGAACCATTAAAATGTTTGATTTTGTGATTGTGCAGATCATTTTTGGCAAGTAATACATGGCTTTTACCTCCTCAAAATACATAATGTCATCCAATCAAAATTTCTGTTACAAGGGAATTTCATTAAAATCTTAAACTTCTTACTGTAGCTATGGCAATGTCAGTTGCTCGATTTTCTGAGATGGCAGACCACAGTTATGACTATGTTTAATAAATAATGCAACATGATAACTTTTTCTACATGTGACTTATATTCAGTAGTAACTTACATGCAATTTTCCATGGAGTCTAAAATCAGTTTCACTCCACGCTGACCTTGTTTTGATTGAACGAGACAGAGCACCAGCACCTTGAGCTGCCATTATTTTAGACGTTCCATTCAAAGACTGGAACTGATCTGTAAAAATAAACATATCCTTTACTGTAACAGAATAGTTTACAAAGTCAAAGATTTTTATGTGGTTAAATTGATTAGAAGGGCTTTCCAGTTTTAAACAGAAAGTACCTTTTTAATGCTTGACATAAAGGATTATGGGCAAAAACTTTGTATTGGCTGTTAAAGTGGCCCTTTTTTTTTCTGATGGTTTAAGGTGGTACATAACACTACAGGGAGATAACTCTGTAAAAATCAGCTGAACATTTTAATCATGTTCTATTGTAAGGAAAATATCAAGCTTCTCAATGATCAAAATTAGTGTTTGTCAAACTGCTATATATCCAATGAATTTTTTCCAATAAAGTGTGTGGTTCAAGTTTTTTGAAATTTTTATATTTTTGTCAAAGGGTTAAAGTAAATATTTTGTCAAAATTTTATGAAAATTAAACAAGCCAAATTAATTTTAGTCAAGGTGTTTGGTACCACCTTAAATCATTAAATGCATTGTTTGCTAGGGTGAACACAGCATTTTAAACATTCATTAGTTTCTAAATGGTATAGGTTAACCACAAATTAAGATATTCAATAAAATGCAAATGTCCAATAGGTTTGTATACAGAATATGTGAAAACAATGAAAGAAAGGAGGGTCTGGATGGGGTTTACAGAAAAGAGAATAATGGGTAAAATGTGCAGAATAAATGTCAAAAAAAATAAAGAATACAGAAAAATAGGGCAAACAAATAAAGAATAGAGAATACTGGGGTGTTAAAATGAAGGACACCCCCCCCCCCTCCAGACCTTCAGATAGAAGCAAGGAAATATAATTTTCCTGAATTCAGGAAAATTGGTACCCCAAAAAATGAATGAATCCACAGTAAACTGTATTAGACCAATAACTAGTGTCAACAGACTACTGGGGCCACTAATTGTAAATTGAAATTATAAAGTACCACGTTCAAAACACAGCTGTTTAATACTATTTTGAAGAAGAAAAAATCTTTCATCTAACAGAAGTTAATAAGATAATTCCTCAATAAGCACATCTGAAGTTCAGAATTGACGTCATCATGTGAAATTTAAGATTTAAAAAATTCAAGTAGATTATTGTAAGTCAGATTAATGTAAAGCCTGTCAACTCTCCTTATAAAACATCTCCATTAATAAAGGATTAACCTATAACAAGGCCTTGGAATTTATAAATTAGCCCTCACTAATCAGAAATAGGTTGTTTTATCCTGTAGGAAATAAGATATCTCAGCAAAAAATGGTTATTTTCTTGAGAAGTCCTGTCTGGATTTTGTCTGGAAAGGGCAATAGGTCTATAGTGTTACAAAATCTTGGTTTTGGTTTGTAGTAATGTCAGATAACTGGTTGTGACATTGTACTTTATGACTCGTTGCAGGCACACATCAGATTTATTCTTACTATTTCTTAAAATATTCTTTAATAATTGAACTTTTAGACAGATATATGCCATTAACTGGCATCAATTGCTGAATTCTATATCATTAAAGCATAAATTTTATTTCTTAGCTTATTAGACATTGAGCAGGCAGATGAGCCTTTCACTGGCACCAGTACTTGAATATCGAATCATTGATTTGTTTCTCCTTGTCATAGAGTACTTGACCTTTGATGTGACACCAGTCCCTTCACTAAGTTACAGATCATTTAAAATTTATTTTGTTTGATACTTGTTTAAAACATTGGCATACTCAGAGGGTTGACCCCCCCCCCCTCCCGCCCCCCCTTCCTTTCTATAGAATTTCTTATATGAGTCATGCATAAATAACAATCGACCAAAACTTACCCTGGAAACCCCCATCTCCATTTCCCCTTTTAGAAATTTCAGGAACTATGTCTGTAAAAGCAAATTCCTGTTAAAAATATCATTGGAAATTCTGTTCTCAGGTCCTGACAGTTAAATAAAAAAAAGTAAAAAGTTTGAAAATTAAGTTTCAGGATTTGAAGTTTATAAATAGGAGAGTTCCTGACCTTATTTTGATACAAAATTGGCTGCACTTTGACCTTCATTATATTTTTTCAAGGAGGGAAGGCACCAGGGTGTAAACCATCTTAATCCATGTCTGGTTTGAGTATAGTTATCAAGATTAAACTTAAATACAGAAAAAGCATAAAATTAGTAATTCAAAAATAAAATTTCAATGGAGCATAACTATAACTAGTCACTTCACACCATTTCAAATATCAGACATATTTCAAATGTATTATTATGTTCAGCAATTTTAGCACTATGATTGATTGAATGATTTGAGAATGAAAATCTAAATAAATAATCATAACACAAAAAAAGTTTACAATATTAACTAGAGGCTCTCAAGAGCCTGTGTCGCTCACCTGATTCTACTTTGGTTTTGGAAATCATGTAAAAATAGATAAAAATCATAACAGATACCCTAATAATGAGTAAAGCCAAATTTGGTTTAATATTGGCCCTGTAATTTAATAAAATATCCTGGTGGCCATCTTGAACAGTAAATTGGCAACACTTCATCAGCACCTCATAAGAAACATTTATGCCATGTTTGGTTTCATTCCATTCAGTGCCCCTCTAGAAGAAGCATTTGTATGTATTTCCCATAGTGTTTTATGTTAAACTAAGTCCCCCCCGCTGGCGGCCATCGTGGTTGAATGATTGGCTTCAAAGTAACAACACTTAGTCAGCACCTCATAAGGAACATTCATGCCATGTTTGGTTTCATTCCATTTAGTGGTTCTCTAAAAGAAGACATCTGTATGTATTTCCCATAGGGTCCTATGTTAAACTAAGTCCCCCGCTGCCGGCCATCTTGGATTATGGATCGGCTTCAAAGTAACAACACTTGGTCAGCACCTCATAAGGAACATTCATGCCATGTTTGGTTTCATTCTATTCAGTGGTTCTCTAAAAGAAGACATTTGTAAATATTTCTCATAGGGTCCTATGTTAAACTAAGTCCCCCGCTGGCGGCCATCTTGGAATATGGATAGGCTTCAAAGTAACAACACTTGGTCAGCACCTCATAAGGAACATTCATGCCATGTTTGGTTTCATTCCATTCAGTGGTTCTCTAAAAGAAGACATTTGTATGTATTTCCCGTAGGGTCCTATGTTAAACTAAGTCCCCCGCTGGCGGCCATCTTGGATGATGGATCAGCTTTAAAGTAACAACACTTGGTCAGCACCTCATAAGGAACATTCATGCCATGTTTGGTTTCATTCCATTCAGTGGTTCTCTAGAAGAAGTTCAAAATGTAAAAAGTTAACGACGACGACAACGGACGCCAAGTGATGAGAAAAGCTCACTTGGCCCTTTGGGCCAGGTGAGCTAAAAATGAATATTCGGAGAGAAAAACCTAAACGAAAAAACTCTTGAAACTTAATTTTCTAAAAAATCTAAAATTTAAATCTGAAGCAAAAGATTGTGGAGAACACAATGACGCAAAAGTCAATAGTTATCAGGGAAATCTTGAAATTTTGTGTAAATAGATTGATTGATTTTTGGTTGATTATTGTCAAGTGGCAAATATTTCATGCATCTTCAGGACAATATGTAAAAAGAGATAGCTCATTTAGACTGAATGTAGTTGATGATTTTCTTTCTTCTATTCTATTTTGCATGATATATTTAGTGATTAAAAACAATAGTGCACTTGTTTAATTCATATTTCCTTGTATATATATAAGTTCAGACTCTGAGTCACATGTTTGCAGATCTTTAACACAATCTTGCATCTATGTCACATTAACCTCAGAAATTTCATTAGTAAAGAAGATGTTAGTTATTTCATTTTTCCTTTGTCCTTTTGTTGTTGAGATTCAAACTAATGATTGAGTCCTTAGTTGTGAATCCATGTATATAGTAAAATTTGTGATTTTCAGATTTCTGCTAGAAAAATTCCTGGTAGGAATTATGAAAAACATGAAAAATATTCAGAAATTCTGGTAGGAATTCTTTTTCCTACAAAATTATTCCTGCTAATTTAAAAATTTCAAATATTTCTGGTAGGAATTACAATATTCCTGTGAATATTAATATTTGCTGTTTTTTGAAACAAATTCCTGCTACAATCCAGCTGGAGTATACTTATTTTCCTACTAGGAATTCTAAAAAAATATTCCTACAAGAGTATGTGCTCTTAAGAAGGATTAATTCATACAGGTATATACCCTAAGTTTAAATTTAGATAGTTACCTGCAGTTTGTCCTAATAGATAAGTACAGCTTTAATCAAATAGGTTTAATTAGATTGTTACCTACAGTTTGCCCTAATAGATAACTACAGCTTTAATCAAATAGCTTTAATTAGATTGATACCTACAGTTTTAACAGAAAGAGTTTTACAGTTTGCGTTTATTCTCATATATATGACAGTTATGCCAATTCTATTCTGATTAACTTTCATTTTTTGACAGCTCTTGTTAATTAAAATCCATAACTATACTATTAACACATTTGGCTTTAAAATAATAAATTTGATTCTGATTGACTTTCATATTTTCACAGTTCTTGTTAATTAAAATCAATAACAATACTATTAACACAAATTGCTTTAAAATGATAAAAATGATAAAAATCATCAACACAGTTCAATTTAAACCCTGAAGAACAGCAATAAAAGAACTTTGCCTGAGATATAATGTTTCTCTACAGAGATAGCTGTCTCATCGACATCCTGCTAGGTTGAAATAAAAAGAAATAAAATTATCAACTAAAATATAAAACTTAATTACATTGCCATTTGAGAAATGATTATGAGATCTGAGAGTAATGACAATGACAAATAAATAAATCTTGATTGCATTGAATTTTATGTGATAAAATGCCCAATGACAGATGAAATGATCTGTAGGAAAGTTGACAGTACCAATTTTACTGCACCAGATGCAACACTTCAACAATTAACGTCTCTTCAGCAATGCTTGAGGCCAAAACCTTAACCTAATACAAACGATGAAGAGCTGATATAAACAAAGAGGTCCTAAAGTATAGCCAAATCTGGACACAGAATCATAATT